GGTGCAGGCAGAGGGTCGGCTCACTACAAGTAAGAGTTGCCCTTCGCCAGAATGATATTTGGTGCACGCTTTTCGGGGGAGCGCGCGATGGCCAAGCCCTAGCACGCAGGCCGCTGCTATTTCAGCAATCGCATGCAATCGACAAGCCGCACCAAAGGTCACTCTTGCTTAAGCAGGATCAACACTCTAGCGTATAGCCGGGATGGGGTACCTCTCCCGATCAAGGGGAAAGGTTTTGAGACGACTTTGGCTGACATGCATGATGTCAAAAATCTGGGGAGGAGGACTGGCCCAGCCCCCTCCGCTCTGCCCCAATCCCATCTGGAGCCCTCTAACCTTAGACCGCTGCCAGCGCGCGCTTCACACTTGCGCCCCAGGCATCCAAAACAGGATCCCGCCGCGCGCCGCTGCAGGGCGGAGAGGGGGGAGGAGGAGGATGGGCGGAGGAGGAGGAGGAGGAGCGGCAGGGTGCGTGCGGCCAAAGACGCAGTATCTGGCTCGGATCTCGGTTTCCAACCGGAGCGCTCGAGTTCAAGTTTGGGCGTGGGTTCGGGCTCTCGCTTGGGCTCGGGCTCATCGGGCGCGGGGTCGAGCTCGAGCTTGGGCTTGAGCCCAGGTTCGGGCTCAGACTCGGGCTGAGCAATTGAACGTCAGCAGGGAGACTCCCGTGAGACAATTGTCTCATTCTAAACGACAATTGTCTCGAGCAGCTTTCAACATTTAGTAGTGCCCTCCGTTTCGTCCCCAGGATGCGAGGGAGGGGAGGAAACAGAAGGAAGGGGAGGGAGAGGAGTAATGGGGGGAGGGGAAGGGCATCGGGAGAGTAAGAGGGGTAGAGGGAGCGACAGGAGAGGGCGAGGGCAAGGAGAGGGGCAGGGGGAGGGAGAGAGATGGCGGAATGCAGAGGGAAAGGAAAAGGGAGAGCGCCTGAGAGGGACGGGGGAAGGGCGAGGAAGAGGGGGATTGTCTTGTCCTTGAGTGGTTGCCTGACGCCCAGATCTGCTTGCAGAGGTTTACGTCGATATCCTCACTGTTCCTTCCCTCTTTCCTCCTGTTCCTCCCCTTTCTCCCTCCCTCCCTTCGCGGCAGGCCCTTCGTATCATCGCCCGACAGTTGCTCTGTCCTTCTCGGGTGCGATGCCGGTCTCTCGAGAGAGTATCGAGGCCCTCCTGAAGGAACAGGGGACAGCTGCGCGGCAGCAGGCGGCGGAGACCAAAGATACGCTCGACAGGCTGACGACGGCGGTCGCCGAAGCCCAGACCTCCACCAATCAGCTTGCGTTCCACACGTCTGCGGCGCAGGTCGAGATTGACGAGAGGTTCGCCAAGCTGGAAGAGCAGATTCGCGGGACTTTCGGGACTGCGAGGGCGACCAGTACGGCGACGAGCAGATGGCCGAGGGGGGCCCTCGGCCCCCTCGCGGTGCGTCGCTCAAGATTGATGCCATCGAGAAGAAGCTCGCCGAGCTTGCTGCAGCTCAGTCGGTGACCGCATCGGTGGCCGCATCCACAGCAGGTTCGGTCAGGTCCTACAGCTCCACACCAGAGCGGGAGCGCGCTCGCATGTTGGGCGGCAAAGTCATCAATTTAGTGGACGAAGGAGAGGCTCCAGATCGTTCCAAGATCTGGGTGCGAGGTTTCCCGCGGAAGCTCTTGCAGACGAAGTTGGACGAACACTTCCTGACCATGAAGGACTCCCTCCCTGCCACCATTCGTCAAAGGTGCCAGGCATGGACGCGCAATATGCAGACGGCCTATGTGGTCAAGTTCGAGACAGAGCAGGACGCCAACAGCTTCTACGACCAATTCCGTGCGTCCCCCCCTCGCGGCATGACCCGAGGTCTGGCATGCTCCACCAGACCCGAGTTGGTCGCGATCTTCCGATCCAGATCAGAAAGAGGAGCTTCGCGATGAGCAAGTGTTGGACCATATGCAAAGACATGCTGCAGGGTCAGAACCTGTGGAAGCCTGAGATGAAGTTGGGATGTAACCTGTTCCAGGGAGTGTGCTACCTCATCCACCAGGACGAGCCGTACGAGTTGGTCAAATGCGTCGACACCTTGGACGGCACGTTCACCTTCGAGCCGCAGTTCGCAGTGCTTCAGGAGATCGGGATCACGAAGAAGATGGCCGAAGGCATTCCTGGACTGGTGCAAGGTCTTCTCGGACAGTCCTCCTGATGGCGTGCGTGGCAGGACGGTTGCTCGGCGAGGTCGAACGCGAACTTCTGTTCTAGTGAAATATACCCACGCTCGGCGGGCGCAGATAATTGCGGCTGGGATTTTAATATTCTCGAATATGGTCTGCTTTCCCCATCCGCCTCTGAAGCGAAGGCGGCTGCCTGACAGCCGAAAGCGTCGTGGTGTTTCCCCCTTCCCCTTCCTCTTCCTCCTCGTCCTCCCCCTCCCCCCCCCCCTACTCCTGCGCGTTCCAGGTCAGAATGCCAGCGGCCCCCTTTACTTTCGCGAGCGTGTAATTTAGCCCCATGGAATGCAAGTACCCTTTTTGGAGCAGCGCCTGGTTCAGAGTCTCGACAGAGACGCGCCCTGGGGAAGGTCCGCGGCCTATACCGTAACAATGATGTTGTAGTCTTGCAGGAAACACGCGGTTCGGAATCCGACTTGTCGGGTCTCGAGCGCGACTTCCCCGATTTCGTGCATCTCGGCTCCTTCCTCCTCTCTCGCGCTGGCGGCGTGGCCACTTCCATTCGCAAGACGTTGGCTGCCGAATGTGAAAGGTGCTCCCCGCCTGCTCGCGATCGACCCCGGTCGGGTGCTCTCGCGCGCCTTCCACGGCGCAGCTGGCAGCATGCAGTGAGTCAAGGTCCACATCGAGCCGCAAAGGAGACGCAGTTTGAAGATGGAGCCTCTCCAGAAAATCCGTCGGTTTACCATGGCTCAACGCTGCGTCGGTATTCCTGGGCGGTGATTGGAATTTCCCGGAATTTGGCGAGCAGCGGTATCCCATGGTTTCGGATGAAGCTCCAAGGATATCTGCGGCGTTCTAGGTTAGGCGACCTATGTGATCGGCGGTTCCCGCAATTTGCTGAAGTTGGGCAGGGTGATCCTACTCGCAGATGCGTAGCCCATGAAGCTGTTGTTAGCGTTGGTCGTCTTGATAGGTGGTACTCGAACCTCCCCAGTTTTGTTCTTCTCGATCTGCCCACTCGGAGCTTTGCGATTGGACACGCGCGCGACCGTCGCGAACCGTCGGACCGCGCCCCTGTCGCCCTTCAGCCCCCTCCAATCGGCCCACCCTTCGCAAGCTACCAAAGTGGGTCTCTCTGCACCCCGAGTTCGAGGAGCTCTTGAATGGATATGCTTTGGAGGCCGGCCTTTCGGAGGGCCTCGAGAGCGTATCCTGGGGAATAAGGAGTGTATGTTTGCGGTTGAAGATAGGCCCCTGGAGAGGCTCTTCCGAAATTGGCCAATCACCGACAGGCAGAAGGTCACCATTTGCCTGAAGCTGATGCGTGCCACCCAGTACAATAACCGTGTTCTGATTCGGAGATGCACGCGGTCTCTGCCAGCCCTCGCCCAGTTCTTCGATTCCGAAGGCGAGTTCAATCCCAATTACGCGGCGTCTCACAAGTATTTGCAGGACACCTGCAGCGACATATTGCACGCTGAGATCAGCGACTTCTTTGCCGAGAAGATCCTCGCCCCTCTAAACTTCGCGATCTCTTCAGGCTTTGGCCCCCCAGACGTCGTCGGCTCACGCGTTGTCACGTTCCTGATCCAGGGGGCGGAGAATCTGGGCCCCCGGCTGACAGCGCCGGGGGGGGGTCCATGCCAATTACGACGTTGCGAGGCGCTGGCTTTTCCAGGAAATTCAGCAGATCTCGCCCGGCATCCAGTGGAGTCTGATGCATCATGAGTTCTTAGGCATCCTTTGTTGCCAAGCAGGAGCCCACACCTGGCCCCGACGGCGCTGGATATGCCGCGTGGAAGGCGGGGAGCGAGTTGCGCCACGAGCGCCTGTTCTCCCTCCAGTCAGATTTGCTGGGCTGCATTGAGATGAAGGAGGGGTTTAACAACACATACACTGCATTCATTCCCAAGGACGGTGGGGGCGGGCACGGCGGGGGAAGGGGGGGCTTCCCTGGGCCCCTCGCGCGCTGCAGGCGCTACTCGCCTTATCTCCCTCTCCAACTGCGACAACAATCTCCTCGCTGCTGCCCCCGCCCATCCGCGCGCCGCGCAAGCTCAGCATTCGGTCTCGGCTTCGCAGAAAGGGTTTGTTAAGAAACGCAATATGTTCGATCACATGCTCGAGATGGAGTCTCAGTTGATTGACTTCTTTCTCCTTTCAAGGTTATCAGGGAGCGGGGCTTTTCCTGCTGGCTATTGCGGCTGCCTTCCCGTCGCTAGACCACGATTGGATCTTCGACTGCTCGTCGGAGCTAGGCGCGCCGAGATATCCCCTGCTTGCCATCAGCGAACTATATAAGAATGTGGCCACAGAGGTCGCTATCCGAGGGCAAGTTTTCGATGTCGCCTGCATCCCACCTATGAGCGGGGTGATATTCGCCCTCTGCGCTGATCCTTTGGTCCGTCATCTGGAAGAGGCCCTGGGACCACATCCAGGCAGGCCGTTCGCGTTTGCCGACGACGTTGGCGCGCTCTCCCAGGACCTACTGGCGCCCGCACCGTCCATCACCCGCCCCATGGCGGAGGCGGCCTGGGCTACTGGTCTTCTGATCAACCCGAAAAAGTGCATCATTGTTTTTCCTGGTGGCCCGACCAAGGACGAGATTCTTCATGTGTTCCAGGGTGTCGGGCTGAACGCCTCGCCGTTCCAAGTTGGCTCCTCCGCCAGGTATTTGCGTATGTTGCTTGGTCCTGGTGGACCGGAGCGCAGCTGGATTGGCCCCCTGAGGAAGCTCCAAACTCGGCCTCAGCACATTCGTGGTTTAGCCCTGGTTCTTAATCAACATATTCGTGCGCACAACGCGCGTGGGCTCCCTCTGCTCAGCTTTCCTGCACAATTTCTTCCCGCGCCTGCGGTTGTTCTTCGCGCTGAGCGTGAAGCTCATCAGTTTCTCACTGCAGGCCCGAGGTGGGCGGTGCCCTCGTTCGCGCTGGCGCACACCGACGAGATCGGGCCCCCTGTCTCATTCCGCTCCGCCGCCTTGGAAAATCCAGCGACCACGCATCGAGTGCGTCTGCGGTCAGAAGCCTTCCCACGCGCATAGGATCGCTGAAGCGAACTCCGAGAGGTCGAACTTGACCGTTTGGCTGCGCCTCGAAGGTTTGACTGGGTTCAGGAGTCCATCACGGGCCCCCTCTGCTCGTTATTCACGCACTCCCAGGCCATCCCTCCTCCAGAAGCAGACATACAAGATACTTGAGTTTCGTGACTCCCTGAGTAGGCCCTCGGTTTCGGTTGCCCTTACCCCCAGGTTTAGGAAGTTGCGGGCCGATCTATTTGAAATTTGCTGGGAGGATTGCCCCCTTCGCTTGTTCTGCATATGCAATGGGTTGTGCACCTCTGCCCGCTTCGGGCAAGGGCGCCAGGTGCGTCGATTTGGATGCCAAGCCATGGGGGGTGACCATGTCTTGCACGATTTATCTTGCCCGCTTTTGCTGTCATCGCTGCCCCGTCCCCCCCCTAGCCTCCCCGGGGATTTTTGCGCTTGGCCGCCCGAAGATAGACTGCTGCTTTGCCTTCGGCCTTCCCTTGACGGCGCGGCCCTCGGATCTGCCCTGCTCATGCACGACCTTGCAAGTTCGGCGTTCAACTTCATGCTCTCCAGCATCAGCAGCGAGAGCAGCAGCAGCATCATCATCAGCTATTTCTCAGTATGTTCCCCCTCCCTGCTCCATCATCCTCTCTGCGGGAGAGCCCCGCCGCGCCCCGCCGCCTCCGTCAAGTTCGAGGCCGCCCCGCGCCGCGGCCGCCCCCCCCCCTCCCACCCCCCCCCCTCGTCTTGAGGGTCGCGGTCGTCGCCGTCCTTTGTCTGGGCTCCCCCTCGCCCCGCCCGTGCGTGCCAGGAGGGGGACCCTCTTGTTTTTCAATCGGAAGCAGGGCTCAGTTCGAGCCTCCTGCAGCGGGGCCTCCCCCACGGTCCTGTGGGGAACGCCCCAGGCAGGCCCTTGCGAAGTGCAAGGGGCCCGCATCCATATAACCCGCAGGGGCAAATTAGTCGTCTAAAGGCAGGGAGTCGCCCCCCGATGCGCTTATCCTTATCCATTCTCCAGGCCTTGGTTTCGGGGCGCCGGCGGCTCACGGTGCCAGATAGAACCAAAGTGTTTGCGAATGTTTACGAGTTGCGGGTTAGGGTGGCTCTGTCCTTGTACGCGGCCAAGGTCCCCCTCGAGGTGGCCCAGTCGGCCACCGACTTGGGCTGCGACAGCTCCCTAAGCCCCCTGCGCCCCCTGCACTACACCCCGCGGTTCGTCCACCCCGCACATCGTTTGCAGAAAGGTTTTTGCTTGCCTGCTGAGGAGTCGGAGGCGAGGGCTAGGCTGCGACTCTCTCGATTTTGCCCCGGTGCCTGGCGTGGCTGGTGCTCCCCGTGGCCGGCGTTTTCTTTCTGTTGTGCGCGCGAAATTTGCGAATGGACTCGCTCCTGCGCCCCCGCCCGCTGCCCCTGCGGGCGCTGCAACACAGCTGGCGCCCTGCTGGGCCCAACCCGACTGCGCGCCCCGCAGGTACCTCGAGCACCGCCTCCGCGTCGTGCGCGAGGAGCTCGCGGTGGCGCGGGGGCAGCTGTCGGAGTTGCTGCGGGCCGCGGCTGGGCTCGCGGCCGGGCCGGGCGTCGAACGCGAGGCAGCCCGCGGCGACGACGGTGTTGACGCCGTCGATGCCGACGACGCCCGCGAGAGCCATGGTTGCCACGTGTGGATCTGCCTCAAAATCCTGGCCATGGCGTCCCCGTGGACAGGTCCAGGGGCGCACAGCGGCGTCGTCGACGGCTTCGTTTAGAAAGTTTTCGGCCGCTTCTGGAGGTACCCGTTGCAACGGCTGGACGCGGCTCGAGAAGCTGGCCAGGGCGGACCTTGGGAGGTGTCCACGGCCGATTTTGAGCGGATTCTGGACAGGCAGCGACGACGACGACCACGACGACGACGACGGGTGGACGTCTTTCGCTCGTTTGGGGGACCTCTGGAAACAAAAAAAAAAAAAAAAAAACGACGACGGCGACGACCCCAGCGCCAACGAGGATGGAGCGGAGGAGCTCACGTGCGCGGAGCGCGCCGCCCTCAACGCGCTGGTCCGCCGCCACTTGCAGGAGGAGGGCCTGGCATTTGCGGCCGCGGCCATGGAAGGCCCGGCGGCGCGCAAGAGGGGGCAGGGCCGGGCGAGGGTGGGGGGGGCAGCGCGAGGGGCGGGGGGCGGGCAGGGCGCTGAAATACGAGAAAGCGCCCTGCCTGTCAGAAGCCCGCTGCCCTCCGAGAGGCCGTCGATGGAAGCAGTGGAAGCCTCCGAGGAGGGACCTGGACCCCTTCTGGGAAGACCCACGTCCTCTCGGAAGGTCCGCCCCCGTCGCCCTGACCCCCTTCGAGGATGTTCAGGACGTGTGTCGCCCAGCGTGTGCGCCCGCGTCGTATCGGAGGGCTTCGGTGGGCACGAGCATCCGCTGCCGGCACGCACGCTCTGAGGATCGTCGGCCCTCCCTGCGCGCCTCCAGAAGGCGGGCCCGCGCTCGGCGCAGAGGGCGTGCCCCTGGAGGGCGTCTCGCTGAGGCGGCTGTTCCGGCGCGGCGCGCGCGAGCGCGATTTGCTGCGCCAGCGGGTGGAGGCCGAGGTGCGGGAGGACCCGGACCGCCCAAGTGGAGCCCCGGCTTTGCCAAGCCGATCAGCGGAGTACTTTCGTCCGTCCTTTCGTATGTCATTAGACATGTTAGAGTCTAGTTTGTTTTAGATATTTTAAACAACTAGAAAACAGATTTTCGTTGTTTCTGAGAAAATTTCATAGGTTCTCGAGAGGGAGAGGGCGTTGCGGCCGCTGGCGCCCGCCAGGTCTGGTCCCGGGTCGTTTTCCCCAAACGGTGGGTTACCAGGGGCTCCCACGAGGGCGCGAAGTTATTCGCGCTTCGCGGTCCTCGCTCCTTCTCCCCCTCCTCCTCGTCCTCCTGTTCTCCCTTTGGGGGGCGGCGCGAGAGCGCGAAGTTATTCGCGCTTCGGGCTTCGCGGAGCGCGAAGCGCGAAGTTGGGAGCCCTTGGTTACCAAAGGTGGTTCTGTCCAGCCCCAGAAATTGGGCTGGTGTGCGGCAGGGTCGCCCAGATCATACAAAAAGCACAAGCATAAATGGTCGGAGGTACACGAAGAGTTGTTTGGATCGGCGTTGGACCCCCACGACGACGACGACGACGACGACAATGACGGCGGCGGCGACGGCGACAAGGACGGCGGCGACGCCGACGATGCTGACGCTCTGGAGCCGTTGGGGCTCTGAGCCTCTTGGGCTCTGTTGGGGGGGCCTCTTGGGGGACTTCTTGAGAAGCCCCGTGGTCACCTGGAGCCGCCTCGGAGCAGATCCTAGGCGCCGCGGAGGCACGTGGGAAAATGCGCAGAACCCCGCAAGCAGATAAAGAATGAGGAGGGTGCCTCCGCAGGGGGGGGTCCAGGAGGAAGGCGGGGTGGTGACGGTCCCCTTGTCCACAGGGGGAGGCGGGGGGAGGGGTCCTGAGCTCCACTGTCCACAGGGAGCCCACCCCCCCCTGTCCCCCGTTCTCTACAGGTGGGACCCCGGGGGGGGGGGGGGACGACCGCAAGGACCTCCCCCTCCCCGGGACTTCCCCAGTACCCCCCCAGGGAAGGGATCAAAGGGAAGGTCAGAGCCCCAGATCATCAGGGGTAACTCGGGTCAGGGTTAACTCGGGTTCGTTTTTCGGGAATCCGAACCCGAGTTATCCCGGACCCGAGTTACCCCGGATATTTCGGGCGTCCAGGGCCCCGAATCATCAGGGGTAACTCGGGTCAGAGCTAACTCGGGTTCGTTTTTCGGGAACCCAAACCCGAGTTACCCCGGACCCGAGTTACCCCGGATAACTCGGGCGCCCAAGAAGGGGCTTCCCTTCGAAGCAATGACGGCGTTGTTTGATTTATTTCTGTTTGACTGGATCGCTTGAGGAGGAAGGCCCAGAGAAAAGGGGGGAGTGGCGACGGCAACAACGACGACGACGACGACCCAAACATAAAAACGTCTCACGCACGCCGACAGGGTTGGCAGATATATTGTTCTATTCGTACCATGCCAGCTTGAATGCCACCGTCCGCTTGAACTAGGGCAACGTTGAGCGATCTCCGCTGTCGGGTAACGGAGAACGCTCGAGGTGGAACGATCCACGCGGTGTCAGAAACCCAGGCCCACGCCAACACGACAGAAGCTTGCCTCAGGTAGGGTCGGGGGACTGCGCCGCACCGCCGATGCATCTGCGATGCGGCGCTGATCCAGAGCCCGCTGTTCCCTCTCCCTCCCGACATCGCTGAGGTATCGGCGAGGTGCGGCGCGTTCTCCCGGCCCTGTCTGCTCTGGCCCCGCACCGCAGTAGCCGGCCTCCAGAGGAGCAGGCGAGCTTGAGGCGAGAGCTCGACGAGCGCGGCCGGCACATTGCGGACCTGGTGCGGGCCGCCGCCGCGCAGGACCGAATCGGGGGGGGGGGGTGCGGCGTCCGACGCGGTCGCAGAGAGGCTCTTGCGGATCGGCCATCACCAGGATGAGCAGGGAGGGAGGCAGGGAGGGAGGAGCCTTTGTTTCTGGCCGTCGCGTCGCCTCGCGTGGAGCTGCACTTGCCGCCCAGGGGACTCGGGCTGAGAGGGCTGGCAAGACCGGAAATCCCCCACCCTGCCAATGCCCGCCCAACCCGCCGCGCCCCTCGGGGCGGTTTTGGAGCCCGGGGCTTCGGGGCGAAGCTTTGGATCCCAGGGCCCCAGGGCCCGAGGGCCCTGCGATATCCCCCTGCTCCTGCGAGGAGCCACTGCGACTGCCGCCCTGGCAGTTCCAAGGAAAGGCTGGCACGACTCTTCGCGCCTAACCAGGCTGGCTTCCTGTGAAACGCGTGAATGAACGCATCGCTGGTCTGCAAGCCTCGCAACGTCTAGCCTCAAGGCCGCGCGGCACTGCGGCATGAGGCCGTTCAATCCTTCCTCGAGGCCCGGATGCGTGCGCCAGTCCATCCTTTCTGACCCACACCCTGGGGTCAGAGAAGCCTCCGCGACGCCAACCTGCATACCTTGACCTCCTTGCACCAGCCAAGACAGGTGACAGGATAAGCCAGAAGATGCCCAGCAGCTCGCGCCACTGGCGTTGGGTGCCAGCCGCTGCTCGGACCTCATCGGGAACGCTGCTCGGACCTCATGGTGAGGCTGCAGCCCCCCTCGTCTCACAAACCGTCCCGTCCCTCGATGGCTGCGCCTGCCCTGCGCCATGCACGAACGGCGGCGGAGGTGGGGAATCAAGGGCGCCCTCGAGGGCGCGAAGTTTCCCGCGCTTCGCGGTTCGGCTCCGATTTCTCCTCCTCTTCCCCCCTTGGGAGGCGGCGCGAGAGCGCGAAGTTAATTTCGCACTTCGCGCTTCGCGCAGCGCGAAGCGCGAAGTTGGGAGCCCTTGGGGGAGAGGGGGGAACATCTTGCAGAGGCCTGACGGCCAGTTCCGCCGACCCTGAGAAGTGAACAGCTTGAGCGCAAGAGGCGGCAGGGGGACGGAGGTCAGGAGCAGTGATGGCCGCAGCTAGTGGCATGACAGTGCTCGGCGCAGCCCGCCCCTGCGAATGGGTCGTGTCCCGCGGGTTTTGAGGATATGTTGGGGGATCTTGAGTGGGCGTCTTGGGAGGCACATGGAGGTCGTTGTGGCCCACTTGGGGTGCATACTGGGGGGCGTGTATGGACCTCTTGGGGGTCTCAGAATAGTGTTGGAGGGGCTGGCTTCCAGCAGGGCCTCTCTTCGGGCCGTCTTGGGGATCTCCTAGGCTGCCGAGGTTAGCCCCGAGACGACTCTAGCGGGTCCAAGTGACCCAGATGCGCAAATTGGTCCCAAGATCGACCGAGTCGTTCCAGGGAGTGGAGATGGGGAGGTTCCCCCCCCCAGAATCCAACCTTGGCGGGGAAGGGATCAAACGCAAGGGGGTTCCGCCCCAGGATTTCCCTTCACATACGCCGACAGGGTCGGCGGATTCATGATTTGCATGTGCTGCTGGCTCGGGGAGTCCTCAGAAGCGAAGCCATTGCCTCTCTGGCTGATGATGTTCTGGTATATTGCGTTTCCATTGCTGAAGCTTGTCTGTCTCGTTTCCCTCCAGGTTTCCCATCGGAGTGGATTCGCCGAGTTGATGATTGACCTCGGTCTCCTCCGAAAGCTCCTCTGCCGTGTGTTGCGCCTGTTTTGACAGTCCGCCTCTATAGATCATTCCTCCTTTGGGGTGCACAGGCATTATGTTCCGTATCCTGATCGCCTCTTGGAAATCGAATCGAAGTATTGAGAGATTGATATACGCGACGTCAACTTCAGCGTTGTGGAACAAGTTATCGATGAATTCAGCTTTCCCAGGTAAGCATCCGCTTGCTCCTGATTGTGGCGGCCGAGTCTATCAAGCGAGAATGCTAATTGACCTGGTCTAGCCAGACACCTTGTGCTTGAACGTCGACATAGACGTTCTCTTAGATGTGATATGTGTGCCGGGTGACCGCCTGATTTGCAGTCAGCGCAGTCTTGTGTTGAACGCAATCAAGGTGGTTACGTGGTTCGGTTTTCGTTTCGGAGATGTGTTGGTCGAGATAATCGATGTTATGAGCAATGGCGATGGTTTGCTAGACACAGCGCCCTTTCGCTCCCTCACATATTGAAGTCGGCGCATCATGTCTTTCCGTAGACGTACAAGTTTCTTGATCCAGAATTCGTGATTGGTTCAATTCTTCGATCGGGTATTCCAAAAGGCGTGCCTGCCCCCAGCATTTCCAGGGGGGGGAAACGACCTCCAGGACACTCCTCACGAGGCCCAGAGGGCTCCAGGAGTGAAAAGCCTGGGACACCTTGGGCCAGGGACACCTTTGACAACTGGCGATGTTATGACGCTCTTCACCATGGGTTGACCTGGCTGGGCCACTGTGTGCCCGCCCTTGTCGCAGGCCCCCACTGCGCGCCACGGACTTGCGTCCTCGCTTCGCAAGCTCGCATTGGATGGTCTTCGCCGCGGGCTTACAGGTCGAAGCCGACGAGCTCGTCTTGCAGAGGTGCACAGCTCCTCGACTTGTGCAGGCACGAAATGCTCGGTTCCTGGACGCAGTTGACTGAGACTGCAAAACGCGCAGTTTCCACAAGGGCCACGTGCAAGAGCCGTTCGATCAAGGCTCTGCGTTTTCCCTACTGGCCTGCTGCGGCGAGCACTGCTGCCATCTTGGTTTCGATATGCTCAATGGCGGGGCGCTGGACCGCGCGCGGGCGCGCGACGCGCGGAAGCGAAACATTGAGCCGAAATGGCTACGGGGAGGGAAAGAGGAGGGAGGGAGGGTAAAGGAGGGAGGACATTTGCTTTGCGGAAGTGTGCGAAAGAGCGGAGGCGTCGCCGATGCCGATTCGGCTCCACCGAATTTCGCCCCAATGGGAGGGGAGGACGAGGAGAAGGGGGAGATGGAGGGAGGTTGGACACAGCACGAAGGGAGGAGGGAGGGACCCTGACTCCCAGTTGTATTGGGGACAGTAATCCAGGGCAGTGCCTGGACTACTCAGAGTTGCCGTTTTGGTGCAGACCCTTCAGACGTTCCGATTGGTGTCTGTTTGCATTTGCCTCATAAGCTCAAGTTTGTCCGCGAGCCTACACACGCCCGTATATCCCCTCCCCCCGCAGCCATATTGACCCGTATCCCGAAGACAACGAAATGTCTTAGACTAGACGCCAATTTGCAGGCTTATATTGTTTGACAGTGGCCGAGGTCGACGGCAGGAAAAGTTAGGAGATGCCCGTCAGTTTTCGCCGTTGGCATTGGGTGCCAACCGCCCCGTTGACCTCAGGACAAAGAGTATAGTAGGAGGAGGACGAACGTGCTATCCACACATGGCTGAATGTGCGTGCTCTTGGAGAGGCGCGGAGCCGCCTTTAAGACTGAACGGCCAAATGTCCGACAGGGGAATTTCAAAATATACACCGAGGATTTGCGTTGATTGCATTACCGATCCGCGACTCTCCTGCCCAGAGGTTGTCCGAGGTAAACTTGTGCGGTGCGTAGCCAAGGAGCAGGAGTGTGAGGGAACTATGAAGAAGCTAAACGGGCGAAGGTCAGTGTTTGAGACCAGAGAACGCTAACCCCACAAGAACGCGGCCTTCCTGGAGCAATATTATGCTCATCCGCGAGAATCAGGAGGCTGGGGAATATTCATCACAGGGGCACCTGCCAGGCAACGAGGCTGAACGAGTTGCAGTGCCCCCTATCTTGGGGAGGAAAATAGATGTGGTTTGCTGCCCCATGCGGCGGCGAGACAATATCGATCAAACTTCCTGGGATCGGTCCTAGGGCTTGCTTCGTCTTCTTCTTGTTCTTCTTCCAAATTTCACTGTATAATGACCTGCTGACTCATCTGGCTTAGAATTAATCCGGCCCGCATAAACTTGTGTCGAAGTTCCTCCCAAGTTGTGCCTGCCGGTATCTGCTCAATCAGATTGGGTATCACCTGCCTAAGTAAGGTGGATGGCAATGCATCATCTCTGAGTCTTCAGTATTGGCATATTTGATATTATCCCTGAAGCTTGCAGGAGGATGTCCCCTGTCCTGCCTCATTGGGAAAGTCGTCATTAATTGACCAATTGCGGGAAAAGAGTAGCTAGAATTCGATTGATTCCGTGCATGTGTTCTACGTTTGTTGCGTATTGGGTCGTTATTGAGATTTGTTCTAATGTTGGGTGTCATTTAGGTAGGAAAGAGCGCGTTCTGTGGTCGCTTGGAGGGGGAAGGGAGGTTGGAACCGGACCCCCCGCCCCCTGCTTCCCTTCTCCTCGGGGCGGCGCTTGCGTCGGCGGCGGCTGGCGACGGCGGCGGGGATGACGATTTCCATTTCTGGGCCAGCGCCGGCCGGCGCCTGCGGCGGCGGGCGGCGGTGGCGGGGAGCGTCGACGAGGAGTGGTGGTGCTTGTGGTGGTGGTGGTGTGGTGGTTTGTTGTGGTGGTGGTGGTGGTGGTGGTGGTTGTGGCGGTGGGTGGTGCTGGTGGCGGTGGTTTGGTGGTGGTGTGGTGATGGTTTGTGGTGGGTTGTGGTGGTGGTGGTGGTTTGGTGGTGGTGTGGTGGTGGTTTGTGGTGGTGGTGGTGGTGGTGGTGGGTTGTGGTTGTGGCGGTGGTTCGTGGAGGTGGTGCTGGTGGTGGTGGTGGTGGTGGTGGTCGTGTGGTGGTTTGCAATGGTGGTGGTGGGTTGTGCTGCTGGTAGTGGTGGTGGTTGTTGCGGTGGTGGTAGTGGTGTGGTAGATTGTGATTGTGGTGGTAGTGGTGGTGGGTTTTTGTGGTGGTGGTGGTGATGGTGAGTAGTGGTGGTGGTGGTGGTGGTTGTGGTAGGTTGTAGTGGTGGCGGTGGTTTGTGGACGTTTGTTGTGGTTGTGGTGGTGCTGGCGGTGGTGGTGGTGGTGTGGTGGTTTGTGGTGGTAGCGGGGAGTTGTGCTGCTGGTAGTGGTTGTGGCGGTGGTGGTGGTGGTGGTGTTGTAGATTGTGGTGGTGGTGGTGTAGTGGTGTTGGGTTGTTGTGGTACTGATGGTGGGTGGTGGTGGCTGTGGTGGTGGGGGTGGTGGTGGTGTGTGGTGCTGTTGGTGGTGGTGGTGGGTTGAAACGGTGGCGGTGGTAGTAGAGGTGGTAATCGTCGCTGCGTCCCCGCCGTCGCCGGCGCCAGCGCCGGCGCTGCTGGCCGCCGCCAGCGCCGGCGCCAGCGCGAAGGGGGAAGGGGATTGAACCCCCCCCCGCGCCAGGGGGGGGGGTCCCCCCTCCCCCCTGAGCTGCCTGCGGCCATCGTCGCTACGTCCCCGCCGTGGGCGCTGCTGGCGGCCGCCAGCGCCGGCGCCGAGGGAGGGGGGGGGTTGAAC